CAGGAAGGGGTCTGGGACAGACATTGCATAAACTGGTTTGATCCAAATCAGTTAAGTCTGGTACTACATTCAGTCAGGTTTATCTCAAACTGGTTTCAGCCATTTTCAAACTCGTTTATGTGCTCTGAACATCTGTTCTGTTACAGCAGGGGCGGGCAATTATTTTGGGCAGAGGGCCACTTACTGAATTTTGGCAAGCCATCAAGGGCCACATGACAGGCAGCCCAGGGCAGATAAATATTAATTTTCTAAATTTTTTAGGGGCCCTGCAGGCCAGATAGAATTGCCTGGCAGGCCGCATGTGGCCCCCAGGCCGCATTTTGCCCACCCCTGTGTTACAGGCTTAAACCAGCTTCTGATCACTTAAACAGGTTTATGTGTAACGTCTGTCTCTAGCCTAGGCGTCCATGATGTGAATTATGTGTATGAACATTTATTTAGAAAGAATATTTTATTTAAAACTCATGTTTGAAAAGGCTGTACACTAAAGCATCCTGGTATTTCTGTTCTGCTATGGTCAGCAATATTTACATCACATTAAGCTTGCATGCAATGGTATTTTCATTTGCAAATACTTAATCCTTATTGATGTTTCCAATAATATTTTCAAATAATTGTATTTCTCCAAATGTAATTTTCGTTTTTCTCCTTTCCCAATAGCGCATACAGGAGGAGCTGTATTCCTGAAGCTTATGCAATCCTGTCTTGAAGAACATCACAGTTATTGTATTAATGGTCTCTGTGCTTTTCATAATGAACTCAAGAAACCCATATGCAAGTAAATAAATGGCATTTTTAAATACACATTCTTAGAACAGTTAGATGAGCTTGTATATTTTATGTTATATGTAATTATTGTGCTCATGTGTTAGATGGTCTTTAGTGGAACATTAATTTAAGCATGTGGGCAGTTCCACTGAAGTCAATGGTTCCTCCCGCCATGTTTCACATGCATACCAGAGACAGAGATCTTGACAGCAGGAGAGTGGCAGGCTTCACTGCTTCATTTCAGAGTGTGGGAGTGGGTGGAGAGAGTGTACTCATGAGTGACCCACCTGAGAGGCATCAAGGAAGTGTTGATACCAAAGGGGATACTTGGTTCTGGGACAGGTTTTATGCCAGGCCTGTGCCTGCTGTACTGCAGAGTTCTCTAACACTACCATGGGTCAAATGCTCATTAGAACCACTCATGGGGTCACCAAAGCTAAGTGTCTTCTGCCTGCACCCTCCCTCTTGAAAGATATGTCTGTGTAACTTCAGCATAGTGAAGACATATCACTATGTCTTCACTATCACTATGTCTTCACCTTGAACTAGCAAGCTCAGGTACTGGTAGCAGTCAGCCAGGATGGAACTCAACACAAGCTGCAAAACCTACCCTCAAAATGACTATACTTAACCTTTGCTGTTCAACATGCTGCCACATTAAGACTGCTACCAGTCCCTAAACTAGCTAGGGATGTCTTCACATCTAGACATCTGGCAGCTTTCATAAATAAAGGTTTCTGATTGCGTGACAGGCTGTTCATATCCGGAGTTAGTTTACTTCTTCATTTCAGTGGTAACTCAATTAAAATGTATCCAAACTTTAAAGTATTGTACAGCAGTTGCATGTTTAAGATTTCCTGAATAGCCTTGTATTTTTTTTCTTATAGGTGCCTTGCAGGCTACAATGGGGAGAGATGTGAGCACTTAACATTAAATTCTTTTGCGCATGATTCTTATGAACACTACATTGCAGTGGGCATTGGCGTTGGAATGTTACTGAGTGGGATTGCTGGCGTAATCTACTGCTATTTTAGAAAGAGGTATGGGGAAAAAACATAGAGGTATGTTCTTTAGAATAAGAAGTGTTGTAAACATTTCTAATCATTGAGAATACTCCAAAGCATGGCCCAGTTCCATGGCGAGGGTTTAAAATTTAAAAAGGTGATCTTCCTCTGAATAATGTGACAAATTGTGGTGAGGATTATCGACGTGTTAAAGTAGGAGAATCAAAAATCTGTGTTTAGCACTGTTGCTTGTTGATTGTATGACTTGACACATCACTTAAATGCTTTATCAATCTATGAAATAGTTTTGAAACTATTTATCAAATCTGATTTCCTTGTGATTGCTTCCAGGAGCAGGATTTTGCTCTGCTTTGCATATTACAGGTCTACAAGCATGTGCTTAAATTCATATGGTGTTATCCATTTTAGATGCAGGAAGTTAAAATCACCTTACAAAGTCCGCATTGGGGAGACAGCATTGTGAGAGCCTGACATGGGACCCTTCCTAATTTGCCTGTAGAGGTTCTGAATTGAAAGAACTACTGGTGCCAGCACAATGCGAGCATGTACCAGAGCCTGAATGATGACCTGAAACACTGGGAACTGAATATAGTTGATATGTCAGTGGAATGTCTGCAGAGGTGCCTGGCGTCATTCATGTTGGAGAATAACTCTGTTGCTTTAGTAAAGGTTGTTGGATGATATGACTGAGTCAAAATATCTGAGAAACCCTCCTGCCCACCACTGCTCTGCTCCAGTTCACTTGTTAGTGGTGGAAGACTGTTTCTCTGAATTGCTTTCAGCCATTTCAAGTTCTCATGGTTTGTCTCTGAAGGAAAAGCACAATACATCTCAATGATGGAGCAGCCTTCTAGGTATCACACATTGCTGAAGGGAAAAACCAATCTGGCCATCTTCTGTTTTCCCAGTATTCTCTGGGCCAAAAGGAAATGTCTGACACAACTACTGCAGATGCTAGATGCAATATGATCTGTACTTCTGTTGCCACAGTGGACAAAAGCATTAAAAGCTGTAGAAGGGAAATGGATAATTCATAAAAGATATCATTTAAACTAAGGAAAATAAAAATAATCCAGTTACGGAAAAATAATATAAAATATCAGACTATGAGATATCAGGGCATTGTTGGTTCTGGTTTTGACAAAAAAAAAAAAGGATCACTTAACTATGTGGACAATGTTTGACCTTCCCTTCCATCCTGTAACAACTGACCATATTGCCAGGCTTGTCAGGTAGACCTCACCTTGCATAGAGATGTCTGACTGTGCTAGGCATAGACTCCTGTTGCTGTGGAAAATGGAATTTCTTATCAAAACTCACTAATATAGTTCTGCTCAGGGGAAAGAGACATTTTGCTTCTTTCTCATGGAATGGATAGAATATCAGCATTAAAAAAGGATAAAATTGTGAAAGGGAATGTACACTTCTCTGTACTACCCAATGTAATATTACTCCTTTTCTTTGATTCTTTTCCCTACCAGTAGGTTTAAGCCATGTCTTCAGGCAAGGAGATTTGTTCTTGATCTATGGGAAGAAAGTGAGTTCAGAAGACCATGACAATTAAGGGACTTTACAGCTTCTGATTGATCTTTGGAATATTGTTGGTGCTGATAATACTGAACATTACTCAGAGTGGTTTTCATTTCAGTTTCCTGGCTCACAGCTTTTATTAGACCCTTCCAAGAAAAAAGAATTAAAATGCTCAAATGTCCATCATGATGTGCAAAGCCCTATTTAGATGCCTAATATTAAGTACACAGTTTTAAAACTGGGCTCACTCATGTGTGTTCCCTTTAAGCAAGGGCTGCAAGCTACAGGGTTTTTTGTAACATTACTGAGAGTGCTAATACTAAGAATGAGGTACATATGAAAGAATCCAGTTTAACAGAAATGAGCCTTTTGTCATAAGTACTCCTAGAGATAGAGCACCTGGCACAAAGGCTGCCTATAGATGTGCTAGTTTGCGTTCTAATTAGAATGCTCCAGTGCCACCTCACCATCGTGTGTATTAAGTCCCCTGCATTTCAAAATGGCCTCAGGGATGCTTTAACTAAACCTTGTCAAATGAGCTTTACTTAAAGCACCCCTGCGGCCATTGCGAAATGTGGGGGGGGCTTAAGACATGTGATGGCAAAACACTTTAATTAGAACGGCTGTCTGGGAACCACTGTAATTTAAACACCTCCCCCACTCCTCCCACCTCTGAGCACATATATAGGCAGCCGGTGTGGTCAAGGTCTGTAACTAGGACTCCTAGACAATCAGATAATGCATGCAATAACAATATGGCATGCACTGGTTGGTAAGGCATGCCTTAGCAGCAAAAATGAGCCAGCCTGTCCTTCACCGAAGGATTAATACAATAGTAAGGAGCTGGACTGATCTCCCTTGCCATCCATTTTCTCTAGGTATTGTAGTGAACATTTTTCAAGATGCATTGGTTTGGTTTCTATCTGCCTGACCTACCAGTCCTCTTCTTTCTCAAGATAAGCTCACCAAATTTTCTCACTGTCCATATTCTCACGTATTAGATTATTGTTTTATTTTTCCAGACTTTGAAGGGCAATTTCTGCTTTTAGTTTTCAGTCCTGAGTGGCTTTGCCAACATACATTGGTTTCACACATGGGTGAAAAATTTAAAAATGGACAATTGGTTACTGCACTGAACACCTTCTAGGACCTTATGCACAGCCAAGAGAAAGCAGGTGAGAGGATTTCCTGTCAGTCTCATGAAATTGAAGGTGGTCCAGTAGGTCAAAGGTTCTAAATATCTCTCCTCACTGACAATGATCTGTACACACAAGGTATATATTATGCAGATTATGTATGTTTCTGGTAGGAATAATCTTTGTGCATTGAATGGCTGCTTGCCAGAATATAACCCTACATTAATGCAACTTTTGTATGCCAAGTTTTGGGGGGATGGTATTAGTTTGGCCACTAGGAATTTATAATCCTAAAAAGTGTACACACAGAGAGACACATTTTGTTCCATCTCTGTATAGACACCCTGGCTGGAATTTTTGAGGCTCATTATGTGCCTAGGTGGCCTCTCTGTGCCTGGAGATGTGCACACTTAATTCTTGTTTTGTGGGTGTGGCTGAGCATAGAAACAAAAAGGCTCAGGGAGGTGGCTAAGGAGACTTTGTGGCATGAAATGTAGGTGTGCTCAGGGCACACCTAAATTGTTAGGTGCTTTTCCAGGTTACTCTCTGGTGCCAGGCAGCCCTGGAGAAGCTGCCTGGGGAAAATATCTGAGGCCTTCTGTTAAGGGAAGAAAAGTTCCTTTAAAGAAACTGAACGAATATTTCAGTACAAATGGAAGGTTTATGCATCCAAGTGATCCAGGTCTGGAAGAGAAGAAATGAGGAGAGGAGGTGCTTGCTGTATTTTTCCACTGCCTTTTCATGAAAGGCCCTTATGCCTCCAAGGAGTGCATCCTTGCCAACCAAGTGCTGTGATTTCCTCAGAGCCCAAGCACAGCTAACCCGAACTCCCAGGTCATGGCAGTGGTTGAGGGTGAGAGCCACGAGCAGGTTCCATGGAGGAGGCAGGTGGCATGGGAGAAGAGGGTGCTGTTACCGCTGACCCACAGCATTTCACCAGCTTCCCTTAGTGTCTAAGACGGGTGTGTCATTGAGCAGTTGACTCGGGGTCCCTACAAAAGAGGTACACAGTGTGATGGATCCTTTGTGGAGTCAGCCATGCTGGGCCTGCATGCTCTGGCCTCCTGTTTTGTGTTTCAGCCTAGCTAATGTAATTCCCTCACATAACCTGCTCTGGCTCTAGGCAGGACACCAAGTTCTGCTACCCTACCTCAATCAGGTGGGAGTGACTTAGTGGCTCCCTATAACTATATAAAGGGTGTACAGCACGATCTGTTCACCAGAGCGCCCCAAGTGTCAGACAGTCACAAACTCCTCCAAGACTGTTTCAGGCTGGACATAAGGAAAAACTTCTTTATTGTCCGAGCCCCCAGGGCCTGGAATAGACTGCCTCCAGAGGTGGTGCAAGCACCTACTCTGGACTCTTTTAAGAAACATTTGGATGCCTATCTTGCTGGGATCATTTGACCTGACTTCCTGCCCCTGAGGCAGGGGGCTCAACTCAATGATCTTCCAAGGTCCGTTGCAGCCCTAATGTCTATGAAATCTATGAATCTATGAAATTTGCATACAGTAATATGATGTGCTGGTAGAATCCTTGTTATAGATGCTTATACTTCAAAAATCATCCAGCAGGAGGAGGCACATCAGTTAATGCATTCAGGGCCCTGACATGGACACTGGTGTACTATGCCTCTGCTTTCGTGGCTGTGCTGATCAGTGCCCTTCCCAGCTTTGCTGAACTCACGGTGCAAAATAACAACCAACCTGCTTAGCCAGTTATTCACTCCAAAATTTACCTTCTGAACACCACATCTGTCAGTCGACTCAGCCATATCCCCCTGCAAACACGCACTTCTTGCCACACACACATAGAGCGAGGCAGTCTCTCCAGAGGATTCCCCTCCCCCCTCATCTTCCTTACCACTTCTCCTATTTTTATGTCCTTCCTCTTAATAATGTTCAACATGAATTCTTCTGCCCTAACTGCTCTGGGGAAAAAAACTGATCTAGGTAGTCTGGAAGGTGCATCTCTACCTTGCCTCCTGCTTTAGAGATACTCATTTCTATCATTCTCCCTTTATCTTTTCTCTGACCTGCTTCTGCCAACCTGCAGAGCTCAACTGTTTCTGCTACTTCACTGCAATCTAAGTGAGACCCAAGCATTGCTGTCAGGCAGCAAGGGAGGAAGTAGTTACCAGCAAGACCTGAAAGAGCCACTTCCCTTTTGTTTCCTTCCCTACCGAACCCTCTATACAGAAGTCATTCTGTGACAGAATGAAAGGGGACAGAATGAAAATTTCACTTTCCAAATTAAGCAAGTCCAGACATCTCCAATGCCAGTATATACAGCTCTCATCCACTGAGTGAGTGTTTGCTGAGGTACTGGCCCACTGACAAGGCACCAGGAAAAAAAGAACAGAAACTAAAGAGGAGCATAGGGCACCTGTGGCATTTCTGGTGCCTTGGGTCCCTTTGGTTCTTCTCCTCTGAACCAGCTGGCTTGCACCTCCCTCATTGTCCCAGCTGCCCAGTGTGTACCAGCCTCCTCTAGCTCAGTGATCTCTGCTCTCATCTATTGCTTAAACTTCCCTGGTGGGTATGTATTTTTTATTACTTTTGTATTTATGCTTCTCAAAATTAAAAAGTTTACAGTTGGGTAAAGGTGCTGTATGTGACTTCCACTTAACTCTGAAGCATGCCAGGGAAATACAGTTTTCCCAATCCAGATATGATGTAGGTTAAAGATAATCAGATACAGACCCATGGAAAACATGGCTGGCCCTGGGAAACATGGCTTTTCATAGTTGTAGGGTTGGAAGGGACCTGAGCAGATCATCAAGTCTGACCCCCTGCCATGGCAGGAAAGAGTACTGGGGTCAAACGACCCCGGCAAGGTGCTTGTGTAGCCTTGTCTTAAAGACCCCCAGGGTAGGAGCCAGCACCACTTCTCTTGGAAGTTGGTTCCAGATCCTAGCCGCTCTGACAGTGAAGTAGTGCCTCCTGATGTCTAGTCTGAATCTACCCTCTGCCAGCTTGTGACCGTTATTCCTAGTCACCTCTCTTAGTGCTCAGGGGAACAGGGACTCCCCCAATGCCTGCTGGTCCCCTCTGACTAGTTTGTAACA